CTTGTACACCGAAAGTTGATATCTTGAAGAACACCACCGTTCCAGGGAGTCGGAAGTAACTCAGTGACTGAATGGTTATGCTAGTCAAAGGCTCCGTAGCATCTTGTGCGCTGTCGTTTTCCTCGGCAGCAACTGCCTACTTTTCGGGCTCAACTTTCTACAGCTCCCTTTTCAGCGTTTGACAGTAGTCAAATGTGCCCCCTTCGCAGCCCAACTAGATGGTAGGAGGAACCAAAACTCATAAGATGATCTGTGGCGTTTGATCCCCGAAGAACGATGGTTATCATACGCGAACGTGATTGCATCTTGGCCACAAATCTAGCAGAACTTTTAGTCATTGGGTATCTCTCTTCATGGGCCGTGTTTCCGTCTTCTCTCGACCAGACCGACTCGCTTGTTATGCTTTGCTGATTACATGTATCCACGTATACCCCGTATCACGCCCGACTTTTTCTCCTTCTTGTCGCTGCTGCTACCGCCACCGCCGCCGCCACCACTACCTCCTTCCTCCTTCTTCTTCCCCTTTTCATCTTTCCGTCGATTCTGTACTCCGCCTGGAAAGAAAAAGAAAAACAATTCTCAATTAGTTGATCCGCCAGAACCCATCTCGGAGCCGAAGCCGGGCCGATGTTCCAGACTCACCTCTGCCGAAGTATCTCGGATCTGTCGTGGTCGGGCTGATGGCCTCGTCCGTCTCAATCGGGCTGGAAGGTACGGGTGAGAGGTGCGCGCTCGAGGGGACCGGAGTCGACGGCTTCGACATGATTGGCGGTGTCGCATTGTACGACGTCGGGTTGAGGAAGTCGTGCTCCGACAAGACCCTGTGGATCCCCGAGTGACTACCTCTCGTCGTGACCGGACTGCTCGAGTGCGTCGACCCTTCCCCGTCACCGTCCATGCGGAAGACGAAATCGCCCCGGCCGTGAGAGTTCGAAGATCCTACCGAGAACCGGTTCTCCTCTAGCTGCGACTGCAGCACCGTGTACTTCCTCATCAGGCTGGTGTATTGCTTTTGAAGCTCAGCCTGCTTTGCCCGACTCGCAGCTAGCGCGCTCTCGACCGCCGCCTTGGTTTCGGCGTTCCGTCTGTTGTGAATGCCTTCATGCGCCTCTAATAGTTTCGAGTTAAGCACGCCAATTTGCGTTTGGAAGAGCTTCTTCGTCTTCTGGAGCTCCCCCTCGCGCGCTTGAAGCTTCAAGTCCAAGATCTCGGCTCGGTTTTCTGCTTCCGCAGCAGATGTGATTGCCGCCTGTCTTTCTGCCTCCTTGGCTTGCAGGTTTCTTTCAGAGATCGACAGCCGCTCTACATCAGCCTTCAAGCGGTCGTTCTCGGCAGCATTGATTTCCACGGACTGCATGGTCTGCTTCGAATTTAGCTCCTTGACCTCAGCGTCACACACCAATTTCTTCAGTTTCTCGCTCTCTTCGCGTGCACCCTGTAACTCTTGCTGCAGAGACTGGATCTCTGTCTTGGTCTTCCTCGACTCCTCACGCAGAGTTCGCAGTTTTGCGGATAAGTCGGATTCCCACTTCTTGGCCAACGTTCGGCTCTTTTCTGATTCTTTCCTGATTTGATTCTCGGCCTTCTTTGAGTCTTCCAACCGCTTCCTCAGCGTCCGGTTCGTCAAGATAAGATTCTGTGTTTCGGCTTCACTTGCAGCTTCCCGAACTTGTTTGCGGCGCAATTCGCCGATATGCGCCATGTGTTGCTGCTTGAGATACCTTTCAAAGTTCAAATCATTGTGGAGTAGCAGAATCTGCCTCTGCAAATGTGCGACTTGGGATTGTCCTTCAGCAACAGACGTTGGCGTAGAGATGACTGGCAGAGATGGAGGCATGTGGCCAGTAGGGGCCTTCTCCGCTGCTGAATCTGGGTGGCTCAGCGCGAGTGATGGAACGCTATCATTGGCCAAAGACTGATGGAGTCCTGACTTGATAGCTTTGTTCGATTGAATCATGTCCTGCAAATGGGTGTGGGAGGTCGACGGAACTAGCTGAGGGGGCAACGTCGGACTGTCCCCAGCGATGTCTGCCTTGGGGGCCTCCAGGGAGTTTCTGTGGGAAGGCTGACTTGAAAGCGAGCTTTGACCTTGGCCAGTCGAATGCACGTGGCTGCTTGCTCTCGAGTTTTGGTCAAGATCTTGATTGCTTCTCCAGCTCTCAGCGCCAGGTTCCAAGCTGCATCCGCTGAGCAAGGCAGGACCGAGACCGTCTCGATCAGATTCATCGCTGAGAAGGGAGCTGTCACCCTCAGCAGACTGCATGCTGTCCGGTTCGATAGCCGCGAAACCTTCGGGAGAGAAACGCAGTGCCATGCACTCGGCCACGACTTCTGCTGGTTCGCTAGTCATCCATCGACCAAAATCGGTCTTTTCAGACTCGATTGTCAGGGTATAGAAGTTTGGGTGCAGAAGGTGGCTTTGCCTGTACCGCTCAGACTTGTACCTAATCTCTGTTGGTTGAACTTCCACTTCGTCCGCATTAGCCGCGTTAGCATGTCGAAGATAACGTTGCGGCTTCCTAATGTAGTCCATGAAATTGATGGGATACAAGCCGTAGAGGACGGTAAAGTAGTTGGCGAGATGAGGGACCTCGATGTCGTCGGTCTCGGGAGAGTACTGGCATGTCTCCCAGCCTGAAGGCGACGCAAGGCTCTTCTGCTCGCTTTCATCTGATGTTGCCTCGATAATACCCGTCCGTTCGCTGTCCCAGAAGAGCAACCGCGCATAGATATTGAATAAGTTCGGGAGATGTGGCACCAAGGAACTAGGCATATGTGGCAATATCATGATGAGGGCGGTGATGGCCATCGAGATGGCCGTAGTCGATGTGTCCTGTTGCAGGCATCGCAGCAGATTATTGAACAGCGGCGTCTGCAGTATCAGGTGTAGGTGTGGTGGTTGGCTCTGGACAAATTCGCACAGCAGTTTGGCCGCCCTCGCACGGAATTCACTCCGCACAAAGCACGTATCTAATGCGAAAAGAAAATCCTGCCATAGCATAAGAATACTGGTCGCACCCACGACGGAAAAGATGTTGACGTACCTTGGGCTTCTTCCTGCCATACGTAATCAAGGCCTGGCGTATTGCGCGCTCGCTGGATTGTGCAGTCAAGTCACTTTCAGACTGTATCTTATAGTACTTTTCTAGCCATGATGACAAGAGCCTCTTGGCGAAGGGGTTCACAACCCGTTCTTCATTTGGGTCGTCTTCCTCGTGCGCATCCAACATGAGAACCTCTAGCGTCGCATGGTGAGACTCTTCCATCAAGCCCTTCTCCCGAGTAAAGTTCTCCAGGATCGGGTCGTTGAGTAGATCCCACCACTTGAGAAGGCGGGACGGGGTGCGGATCGCAGGCACCAGGAGTCGGAAGACGTGGACGAAGGCAGCATACTTGGGTGGTGCACCCTTAACATGCTTATCCCAGATGCCGAGGAAGTCATCTTGTAGTCGCTCGGCGCTCGAATCCTCGTATTTCTCGTGCTTGTTCAGGTAGGCATCGATGACTTGGGCGACATCGTCGGGCAGTGGAAGAGAAGGCGAGGCAAAGAAGGACGTCAAGGCTTTGGACAGGTCCTTGAGAGACCTAGAAAGTCTGGTATTAGCCCTATCGTGTGCGTTGTCGCAAGTCGCAGGCGCAGGTAAGTTGCGGGATGGAATATCGCGCACCACATGACGCAGGCGACCCAGGTCGTAGGGAAATGAAGGGAAAAGACGAAGAGGGAACACAGTCTGGCCACTTACGCTGACGACGCCATTTTGTTAGCGGTGACTCTTCATCGAGCCTCGCGATGTTCTTCGCTTGTGGAAAAAGCAAGGCAAGGTCCGTCTGTGGGCGCAGGTGGGCAAGTCGAGATCATGCAACTGTCAGGCAACGGCAACGGAATCTGCTGATGCAAGGTACAAGCTTTGCTGGGGACCCTCTCTCGAACAAGGCCGGGAACGCTGTAGAAGGCCGATAAGATAGGTTGGATCATTGGACGGCACGCTACAAGGCATGGGAGGGGCCTGACGGAAGACCACTGTTCGGCAGGACGCGGCCAAACAGCTTTGCAACACAGCTTGTGGTTGGTCTCGCTTAGTCTTGCTGTGGGGCCTGACCTGCTGGGTCTCACAGTGCTCTGTCGCAACTCGCAGGGCTCAATTCATTGCCAGTGCGACACCTCCAAGGGCGGGCGACGCCGCAAGGGAAGAGAGTTCAAAGTGGAGATACTTGGATCTCGGTGTTCCGGATGCCCTGCAGGCATGTACCGGGACCCACCAGTGACCTCACGGGGAGACTAACCCCGCAATCCGCGAAAGAGCGCCATGCACCGTGGGCCACCGATGCACCCGACCCCAGAAAACGTACGGGAGACAGTGGGGCCATTGGACCACTTGAAGCTGTTGTGGGTTGTGGCCTTTTCCAGAAACGCACCTGATCAGTCACTCAATGGCCAGTTGACTCAGCTGAGCTGGACGAGGGCAAGCGGACCGTATGTAGCACGCGTGGGCAGGAGGGGTTGCTTTGGTTTGAAGCCGGCCAACTGCGTAGATCCAAAGGGGGGGAAGGGGGACATACCGCCAGGAGAGGTACCTCAACGTCCACCTCAAGGTGATGCGTGAGGAGGTAGACATTCCGGAATGGAAGTCAGCTAAGGTCAGGTAAACCGTAACGAGGTAAGGAGAAGAAGAGGTCTGGTGGGTTGGTGGTGCAACTGCCAACCCCTCCTTTGACCACCTTTGACCAGATGACTCGACCCTTATTACTTCCTTCCCCTCCCCTCCTTCCATCCAAATAGCTCAGAGCTTCCCTCTTCTCCTTCCACTTCCACTTCCTCTTCTTCCACCATCGTCAACCAACAAACAGCCCAATCTCATCAATCAATCGCCAATCCCCAGCAACGACCTTTTCCGAGAACTCATCTCGGTACCCCAATTACTCCAACACAACCTTACAGCTAGCACAAGCTGTATTACTTACTCTTCCCCCCTTGAACCACTACATCAACAACCGGCACGATGGCAAACAAGAGCTCTGCAGTGGCGGACGAGCCCATTGAGGTTCTGTTCGCCCTGCAACCCAACTTCGACCTTCTTGACATGGCAGGCCCTATGGAGGCTTTGTCCACTGCCCTTCATGACCAGAAGGACAAGAGTGAGTTACCTATTTACCTTCTTGGAAGCTTCTGCGCAGCTCCTCCTCCTCACTGCCTTCCCCGCTCCATCCGCCACGCACGCCGCTGTGATGCAGCCATGTTAACCAGTGCCCGACCCCGCAGACTCCAAGGCCTTCGAGTGTACCATTGCGGCCGCAGAGCCCAAGGTCGTCTCCGACTCTGGTGTTACCATTGGCACCCAAATCCCCTTCAAGGAGGCCTATGAGCGCCTCAGCGACTTTGACGTCCTCGTCATTGTTGGCGGCGACAGTGAGAACATTCTCAAGAACAACGCCGAGCCCCTTCCTCTCATCCAGGCCTTCTCTGAGCTGCAGCAGAAGGATCCCTCCCACGAGCGTACCCTCCTCTCCATCTGCACCGGTTCTCTCTTCCTTGCCAAGCAGGGTGTCCTCGCTGGACTCTCCGCCACTACTCACTCAGACTACATTACCAAGTTCGAGATCCTTTGCAGCGAGGCCGCTACCCGCAACCTCACTGAGAGAACTGATGTCATTGACGATGCTCGCTACGTCGTCAACAACCTCCGCTTCGAGCTCGGAGATGAGGACGAGAACCCCTACGTCCGCCGCAAGTCCGACACCGGTCGCCGACCCTCTAACGCTAGGTACGTGGCCAGATCTACACCCCATCTCCAGTGCTACGAGTAAAACTAACTCTTTGAAACAGAAAGGGCAGCATGTCCTTCAAGAGCTCCGGCCGCCGCGAGTCCATTACTCGCCGTGCCGCGATGCGCCTCGGCGGTCTTCGCGTCATCACCGCCGCTGGAGTCAGCGCCGGTATCGATGCCGCTCTGTACCTTATTAGCGCCCTTGTCGACGACGCTTCGGCCGAGGAGACCGCTCGCTACATGAACTGGACCTGGAACAAGGGTGTGGTTGTTGACGGCCTTGATGTCTAAGTCAGACACCAATAGCCATGACAGATGGATGGTAAAAGTTCATCATGATTCATGAAGATCTGTAAGAAGGACGGGAAAAGCCTTCCAGATGTGTACGGGATAGTTGCGTCTCCATATTGCTAGCAATGCTGTGTTTATTAGTACAATCCACCCTTACTTCTTTTGGGAAACAAATTCTGCGGTCTATCGTGTGTGAGTCGAATCTGAGTCACCGGTCCACTTGCAGCCGACCCCATGTACCGCGGTAGTTGTGCATGCCTTCTCAATGTGCTAGAATGGCATCGCAATGAGGAGGTGAATACCAGAAAAATCGCCAGCTATAGTGCTCCCAATTCCCCTCATAAACCAGTGGAGATTAGACTCAGGTTTGTGCGCTGCCTTACATAACCCGTCTGGTCTTGGAATCTGGGGTTGGAGCTCTGACGGACAAGGCCATTCCTTGATCGGCACTGCTCTTGCCTCGTTGGCTGCTTTCTCGTGCCAGGTAAAACATCGGATATGAACGCAATAGGCGTGTATTTTATCCGTACACCGATCTTCTTGTCCCCTCTTGCACATCTCGATGTGAAGTGGTCGAAGCTTCCTCAGATGAAGGCAGCCAAGACTCGACGTATTGTTTCTGTGGAAGTGAGGGGAGAAGCTCTGCTAGCTCTCATAATTGAACTGGTACCTTACTGGTAGTGCTAAACACTGAATTGGCGAGAGCGAGTATCAAGTTGTCCGGCTCAAACTTTCGGAGTCCGAGATCTACGCATGGCAGGACGTCGCGTGACATGCCTTGACTCCACCTTTGCTTGACACACAAGCGACCCAGCCTTGCCGTTTTTGCCGGGATAGGACTGGATATACGTTCGCAAAAAAGCACCTTGATTTGGAGTTCTTTGGCTTTCACTAGGAATGCCAAGGCGACTATTAATACCTACGTGGAATCAAGGTAAGTTGCCCATAGATTGTATCTGAAGCCGAGAGTCAAAGGCCGGGGAGCGGGCCCGGTCGGAAGAATTGACCTCGTGTGGAGACACCTTGAGGGAGCTATCGCTGACCCAATTTTCCCGCACCTGCGCCCGGCACCCGTAAATTTGGTCCCACTAGTAAGGGCGGAAATACGTGACCCCGAGTCGACCAATCATCAATCAGATCAATCCTGACGGTCAACTTTTTGGATTCTCGCATCGCAGGAGCTCCACGATCGATTAAGCTCAGCCAAATCAACGACGGACGACAAGATGGCGGAGGCATTGGCACAAGCGGTAGCCCGCCAAGGGCCGGCATCCTTCAAGCTGGGAACGAAGGCAGTGTATCTGTAGGTTCAGCTTTCCAATTACAACTACCTTCACCCGAGATCACCTTTCACCCCCTGGCGCCACGCACCTTGAAGACATCATTCACAGAAAGCTAACGTCTCTCTCCCTCCTCAGGCCAAACCATGTCGTCACTTTTGTCCGCAAGGACAAATCCCCAGCCAACATGGCCACCTTCAACGTGCCCCTGACCTTCACAAAGTTCGACATCCGCGACTACCTCTGGAACCTCTACAACGTCGAGACGACGGCGGTGCGCTCCCAAGTCAAGCAGTCGGCCATCGAGCGGCGGTCGACGGGCTCCGGCTATTTCCGCCCGCAGAGCACCAAGGTAATGACGGTGCAGCTGACGAAACCCTTCGTGTGGCCGTCCCCGCCCGCGGACCTCGAGCCCTGGAACAAGAAGCTATGGGAGGCGCGCGAGAGCGTCTCGCGCGAGCAGTACCGCGGCGACATCCGCAAGCAGCTCGGCAGGCTGGCGAGACCGAGCAAGGACAAGGAGAGCCCCGAGAGGAAGTTTTTGCGCAAGCAGGCTGGTAGAATCTTGCGCGGTGCGGCGCCGGGCAAGTGGGATCAGGGGAACAAGGAGGTTGAGCTGGATAGCAAGTGGGATCCGCCCAAGAAGAGGAAGGCGAAGAGCTGGCGGTTGATCAAGAGACAGTCGAAGAGATCGGTGAGGAAATGAGTATCTTCCCGTTGCGGGAGTTCATGGGATGGGGGGTTGACGGAAGGGGTTGGGATATTCACGTGTACAAAAATCGAAAGAACAATAGTGTAGCATGCGGATCGGCATGTCTTGTACAACACATAACACACAACAAGGACGTCATGCGATATAGAAAAGGTGTCAATTGGTTTTGGTATCTTTGGATTCGGATTCCTCAGTCACGGTATGCCTTATTTCTTCAGATGATGCGACCCAGTGCTGAGACTCTTGAAAGCGAAGAGCTTCGTTGCCCCATGCCCACCAGCCAGCAGTCAGATTACGCGCAAACACCTCTAGGCCGCGATATCCTCGGGGCAGCAGGTCGTCAAACATGCAGCGCAGATTTGGCTTCCGTGAGTGAACGTCAGGGACCGCGGCAATGACCCTCCCGGGCACCTTCTTATTGTCACCCCGTTTTCTCGCGACGATGAGCCTCTCCCAAGGTTTCCTCCACGCAGACTCCGTTTCGAAGATGGCATCGCCTTGCGACGTGATCTTGACCCATTGCCACTCGGCAGCGACCTCGAGGCCCCAGGATGCGAGGACACCCTTGGGCGAGGTGAGCAAGTCTACCAGCGTCGCCTTATTCGTCACCCAGACGGCAACGAGACCGCCGTCTGCGAGATGGGCGGCGACGGGGATCTGGTCCAGCAGCGCGCGCGTCTCCTTGAGACCGTAGACGGTGGCATAGCCGCCAGTCGTCTTCTTCTTTCTCCTCGCGGACTTGTTGGGCCAGGGAGGGTCCATGATAATGAGGTCAAACTTGGGCGCCGTCGAGAGGAAGGATTCTCTAGTCTCCTGGATCGAGCCGTTCAGGTACGTAGACTCTGGGGGAAAAAAGTGCGCCGCAGCCGCAGCCGCAACCGGCCGAGAAGCGGCTGCGGTAGTGGCAGCGGCAGCATCGTCGCTGTTGTCTTTGCGTACGGGATGATCCTGCGGGCTTACGCTGCTTTCACGACCGGTGGTGCTGACGACGTCGCTGCTGCTCCCGCCACCCGTCACACGAGGGAGACAAAACGGCGCATCACAGGTCCGTCTTAGCGTATCGAGGGCGCTCCTCACCGCTGCCTCGATCATGAGGTCTGCGAGCTGGCTCGCCGGCGTCTGGTTATTGGTTTGAGGTTCCCGGGGCTCTGGGAGGGTAAATGGCGCGGAGACGGGGTCGACCGAGAGGAGCCGTCTCTGTGGTTGTCCTGTTGTCTCGGCACCTTGGCCCGGTAAGAGCTGGCTCTCCTCTAACGAGGCGGGTATGTCGACGAGACACACGGAGCGGTCTTCATTTTGGAACAGGACGCATCTTGGCGACGAGCATGCCTGAGAGGACTTTGATGGAAGACTAGTAGAGGTCATGACTAGAATCGTATCTTCTTCTCATTCTTCATCTAAGTATGACCAGGACCAGCGTGCCTTGCCCCTGTGGCTTTGACCCGGGGCGTCTTCCCCGGAGGCTTGATTTGAGGCCCGGCGCAGTCAAAGTGCCCCTCGACCGGACCCGGGTGGGGGCTTGACTGTGGTGGCCGTGGGAGAAAACAGTCCGGTGCTTGTAGTCCCCAATCCTACCGAGGCCCTCCTGCGTTGGTGTGGTTTCCCCTTTGGACAAGCGGTCTGGTGTTAGTTAGTTTCTCTGTGTGTGAGAAAAGTCTTTGCAGTCAGTCCCCGATTCGATTGCCCACATGGAGTGAAATTGCGGAGGTATCGTGGGTATCAAAGGCCTAACCCCGGACCGGAAGTGAGTAAAAGCAGAGAAGATCCTGGAAAGACAGCCCGCTGCAGAGGTCGAGAAGTTGAAAATGACCATCCGCCCGCGTCGACGCTCGGCAATCTTCGGCTCGTGGCCCAGACCCCTGTACTCCGTACTAGAACTCTCAGCGGGCAGCCCCCAATTTACCGCTCGTGCGCCACGCTCCTCCCCCGTAGAGCACCAGTTGTGTGCAATGAGAAGGAGCCTTTTTAAAATCTCGCCTTTATGACGTCCCGCCCCGTCGCATTTCGGCTTTAGACCCTTCCCTTCCCTTCCCGCACTCTGCCTTCTTGGAACCTTCTCCACGATCACCACTCCCCCCCACGATCCTTACCCTCCTCGCCTGCTAGCTCGTGCTGCGAGCTCCTTTAGTTTCTCCTTCACCAATCTTCGAATCCTCGACCCCGGAATCTTCGAAACTTCGAAACACACTTCTGGAAAACACGATTCGCGGAATGCTCCTCGAGTAACGCCGGGCCCAGCACTTTCACAAACAGCCAAAGCGAACGAGCGCGCTCGCCGGGTTGCGCTGACTAGGTGATGCCGTCAGCGCTGCTGGAACATGCCTCTATGTCGGAGGTAGCACCAAACAACCAACGAAATGCTGCGCGACCGAAGCCAGACACGAGGGCCCCTCCCGTGTGCCCGACTGACGACGACGAGACGGTAGCCGTTAGGAAGCAGACGCGGACGTTCGACTATGTCTGGCGTTCTGGCGTCGCGGGAGGCCTGGCAGGATGTGCTGTAAGTAGCAACAGGAATGAATCGGCGTGGAGAGGATATCCGTCATGCTGACGCAGATTTGTACCACAGGCAAAGACGGTTGTCGCACCTCTCGACCGAGTCAAGATTCTGTTCCAGGCGAGTAGTCCGCAATTCGCAAAGTACACTGGGTCGTGGTTCGGTGTCGTGACGGCAATGAAGGATATTCGCTCCCATGAAGGCTTCACGGGGTTGTATAGAGGACACTCGGCCACTCTCCTCCGAATCTTCCCCTACGCCGGAATCAAGTTTCTTGCGTACGAGCAGATCCGCTCCATGATTATCAGGAGGCAAGATCAAGAGACGCCCTGGCGCCGGCTTATCAGCGGCTCCCTGGCGGGCATCACATCCGTCTTTTTCACATATCCCTTGGAGGTCATTCGGGTCCGGTTAGCGTTTGAGACAAAACACGGCGGTTCCTCGTTATCCGCGATTTGCCGGCGGATCTACAACGAGCGTTTTGTGCGGACGTCCCCCGCCTCGCAAGCGG